AAGCTTCAAAAAAAGTGTAGATCGATAGATCTATGAAAACTTGAAATTCTTGAAAATTGACAGTCAAAAAATGCGATACAAAATACACTATTTCCAAAACTTGAAATCTATTTTTTTTTCTCATATTCATGCATCTTGATGTCGAGATGATCAATTTGAGGATATCTGGGCATCAAAACAGTCTCTTCTAGTGAAATTTTTGAGCTAGGCTCAAATTTGATTGTTTAGAGCCTCGGCTCTATATAAACTTTTCCCTTTATTTAAAGACATGGTTTTTATGAGTCCTAGGACTCATAGATAGATATACATCCCCTCATCTTGATCCATTTTTTTGATGGATTTTAGTCCTAATGTTTTAGCTATATGTTATCTCCAATTAAGAGATTAGAATGTATTAAAAATAAAATTTAGAAAGTAATAATGTTCAAAGAAAATTTTCTATAGTTGATTTTGCCTTTTTTGTTTCTAAGATACCACAACTCCACATCTATCTCTAAGACAAACGTGTGATTCCTCTAGAAATGCAAATGTGGTTATGTGTCCTCCACGCACCCTTTTTCCTTTATTAAATGTTATCTTGGAACCAATGGGAATGGAACTATTAGATGCGCCATTCAATGTTCAAGAAGGCGGATGTGGCTGCCTAGCTGACTGGGGGTTTAGGCCGTCCAGGCGGGTAGCCAGATACATAGGTGGCCTTAAAGGAAAGAGGTTGGGGTGGGGGCTATATGTTGTTTTGTGTGTGTGTGTGTTGTGAATGCTTATGGGTATGTGTTTAGTGTGTGTATGTGCACATATGTGTATACGTGAGGTCTTGTATCAAATTCTTAAAGATCATCCTCTTTTTTTGTTTTCTTTTTTTTCTATTTGGATCTATATTTGTAAGAGATAGGTCTCGAACACTTAGAAGACATACAGAGAGAGAGAGAGAGAGGTCTCGCATAAAAAACTTGGAGGTCATCTTCTTCTTTTCCTGCTTCTTACATGTAAAGAAGTAAAAGGTAAGATATGGATCCATGTGTATCTTTGAGTATGTATGTGTGTGTATGAGAAAGAGAGGCCGCACATTGAACACTTCCGGTCCATCTACTTCTTTTCACATATAGAGAGAGCACGTGAACTCAGGGAGAGAGAGAGGAAATATCATGTCTTATTTTTGTTTAGGGAATTTGAATTTTTTTTATTTTTATTTTAAAGGATGGCACTAGTTGGGTGCCCAGACTACCTAGGCGCCCAAACCACCTAGGCGTCGGCCTAAAAACGTGTCTTGACTGTCTAGGCACCCACCTTAGGCATGCTCGCCCAAACCCCACCGCCTATGCTTAAGCAGTTCATCGGCCAGGCTGCCTACGCATAGGTGGTTTGTTGACCAAGCCGTGCGGCGGCAGCCGACTTTTTCTTGACTTGTGCCAATGAATAATTGTTACCTTGAAAACATAAAACAAAATCTTCTTGAGGTTGACAAGATTACTCCATTTACGTCATTGGAGTGCCATAACAACCTATCATTTTCAGATGTAACAATTGGACCCCTATTCTTGTTCATCGTATAAAGTTTTAGGAAAGTTTTATCTTTCTTACCTCATTATCCATAATCTATATCACTCCCACGTTCAAGTAGCCACTTTAATGGATTCTACACGTCATATCAAAACAACTTTGGTGCGTCATTATAGTTCACAAAAATATGGTGTTCTAAAAGTTGGTGATTTTTGATATATATAGTCGATGTGGATAAGAATCGGTTAGTAGCGAACT